CAGTAGATGATTGTTTTGTTCAGGTTCTAAAAATATTCTTTAGAGTTTCTATCAACTTTCTAAAGAACCATATAGAGTTTTAATAGAATTCTATTAAGAAATCATTTGAATTCCTATAGATTTTCTACAGCAACTCTATAGGTCAGCTTTTAGAAAATTACATAGAATCAACCTATAGAAACTCTATAAAATTCTGATTTTATTTCTATAAACATTCTATAACTTTATATATGTATTCTTTAGAATGTTTATATATTTCTATAAAATAATCTCTATGGAAATACTAATAATTCTATAGAAAAAACAGAAATTCAAAATTCTGTAGACATTTTATAGAAACCTGTGTATTTTTCTATGAAAATTCTATCAACTTTCTATAGATTTTTTTCATAATGGTAATTTTCTATAAGTTTTTCTATATAATTCGTCTAACTTTCTATAGAATTGTATGGGAATTCTATAAAAGTAGATATAATTATTGAAAAGTCTATATAAATTCTATATAAAAAAAGTTCTATAGTAATTGTTGTAGTTCTATAGAAAATAAAAATGTTTCTAAAGAAACTCTATAAAATTTTGTTTTTCTATACAAATACTCTATGTAAATTCTATAAATTTTTCTTAGAATTTTATTTTTTCTACAAAATTTCTTTAGAGGTTCTAAGAACACTCTATAGAACTCTATCGGAGTTCTTCAGGATTTCTATTTAAACTACATCAAAACATCTTTAGCGACCTTGTAGAAAATCTATTAAAACTCTATAAAGCTGGTTTAGAAAATCATATAGAATTAGCCTATAGAAAAGCTGTAGAAATTTTATAGAATGGTTCCTTTAGAAATTCTATACATTATTTTCTTACGGGGAGTACCGTTTTTTTTTTTTTCATTGTACAGTATCGCAAAAACTAGAGCAGTCTCAAAATCAAAAATCTTTCAACTTATATTTTGACGCCTTTTGAATTTATTTTTAGGATTCAAATCTGTATCATATCATAGGGCCTGCTAATTATTGAGTCGTTTACTCTATTCCTGATGCATGCATCCAAACAAAAACACTATTAAACAAACGGCGGTCTGACTGAGATTATAGTACACTGCATGCAGGCACGCAAATTGAAGACAATAGCCAAAATTGTAACAAATTACCGTATTTTATTTTAAAAATATTTTGTTTCGATGTTTTGACTCGAATGTTCTGATTTAGTATTTAATTTTAACACTTAAGACTTTCTGTATAACCTTTTGGAGACCCAGATGTGATCAGACGACCCCCAAAAATTCACTCACGGCCTATTGGGTTACGACCCATGGGTTGCCGATAGTAGAATTAATAAATTAATAGTATATTATAAATAGATTTTATTATGACTGTATAACAGTTGGACCGCATGTCATGCATACATAATAATATGCCAAATAAATATTAATACAATTTCAGTTCCTTAACATTTTTATTTGTCAATTATAAGTGTTGGACATCAACCGTCTATAATTTCCATTTTTTACTTGCCTGCCTACCTCCCCCCCCCCCACTAACCACCACCCCTACTCCCCAACACCATTGCCACCCATATTAAAGTTCATTCAGTAAAATTCAGTCATGGCTATCGGTATTTCCTTTGAGTTATAATCAGCTGGTACACTGAGTAAAAACAAACAAGATTTCTTTCTCCAGATATTCGATCGGTAGCAGTAGCCAATTTAGGAGGTGGGTGCCTTTTTAAAATTTCAAAAAATATTGAGAAAAAAATAATATATTCAAATTTTTGTCTACAGGTGCAGTAATCATACATTTTCTTAGCTCTACTTCAGCCGTACGTGGTTGAGACTGAGGTAAAAAAGAAATATAAAATAGTACCTAGATGGGAAGACACTTTTATATACAGTAGTAAAATTCATCATCATCACATCACCAGGCAAAATATAGCGTCAACAAATTTCTCATGATCTCTTATTAACGATTTTCGGCAAACATAGAGATCTAATTAATACTGTACATGTGATGTAAAATTAATCATCATTGATCGTATGTTTCTTTGCTGTTTATGTACTTTTGTTGCATGAGAAAAACCAATTTCATATTTTAATTTCACAATAAAGCTATCTTGTATCTAATATGAATCGCTGCGATAGAAATATAACAACATAATTGTCTTCGATTTATCTACTTTACCTACTTCATGAGCCGAAAACCAATTTATCTTTACACACTTTTTATC